CGACCATTCCATTTCCGTAAAGTCTCGTAGAATCGTACAGAACAATTTTTGAGCGATAAAGCTGAATATTGAGGGCTTCGTATGATAGCCAGTCCACTAAATAGTTAATTTATAAATAATATTCCATAGCACATTTCCATGCTCAACGTTTTTAACTTGTATGCAGCCAATCACCTGTCATATCCATACGGTCTATGGTATATTCCACAAACAACGTCCCGTTTACGGCATTTTATGTAAGCCAAATCCCCGCCTAACATTCTGTCATACGTTCATTCTCATTAAACACAATGGGTATCCCGCAGGCCAACTGAAACATCTTCCCGGTAGGGTTTCCATCCCGAAAAAATCTCTGGTGACAAAATATGTTTAAACTGCATTCCGTTAACTCTGCAGCACCTTGTGACTAGTCTGCGCGTCCATGTCGGCCACAAACAAATCACGTCCATTTTCCTATAGCCCTTAGTGGCATTCATACTCTCTTTAGCAGTAGTATGCCGCAGTGGTATGCCGCCAATCGCCCGCACGCATTGTTATTCTCACAAGAATTACCCATACTGTAGTTGAGATTTCTCGGTCTTTTACGGTCAGTGGGATTAGGCCGACTAGCCTAATCGGCGTGAGCATAAAATTGCCTTCAATGTCAGGTCAAAGTCTAACTTATGTGCCGGCAACCGACGTCACGGACGCTTGTACTGTTAATTTTTGTGATTGTGTTCTTTAAACCTTACTTCCTATAGTGTTTGCTCTGGCGCTCCATCAGGATTATGTGCGGAAGGCAACCCACTCATTATGGAGCGTAGGGTGCACTTAAGTGTGCCCTTGCGCCGTTGTTTGAAATTGGAATGCAAGACAGAATGCCGCACTAGGTCGTCAATTTGAGATATCGATCACTACGCAATAGAAGATCGTCACACCAGTTAGCAAAGGATTGCAAAGACCGTTGTAGTAAATCATTTGGTTGTCAAAAGTACCTTCAAACAGTCAAAGAAATCAGCCACTTAATACTCCTGTAGCACTCAAAGTCAAATTGACTAAATACATGTGATGGTCGCTGCGGCAGCTCAGCGCTAAGCACCTGCACATTGACTGGTACTCACTCTGGCATTTCAAATAGCTCTGATCACGCTTTTTGAGAGAATCGGCTATAATTCAGGACTACGCGTTTCCACCAGGACGCTGCTGAAGAAGAAAAAAGCAGTCAACCTCCTGAGTCCTGTTATGAAGAAGCACATCTGCCTGGCTAAATTCGCAACGGTGTCTGATCTGTAGAGCAGAAAGATCGCTCCACCTTCCACTGTTCACCGAAGTGTGTGCGATATTAGACTATTTTTATCCAACCTTATTTCTGGTGGCCGTCTTGGGTACGATAAATTAATTAAATCGTTTCCCAAGAAGTTGATTCTGTTGTGAAACAGGTCTACTGACTGCCGGAGTGGAGAGTTTGGGGTTCACGAACCGTGTTTTAAAATCCCGTCAGATATACCCGGCAGACGCGGACAATGATACGTATATTGCTTCTGTTATCATTTAGTACCGCAGATACCCTTCAGCTGCAGTTTCT